TCTTTTTTTTTTTTTCTTTTTTTGGCAGAACCAGGGATTGAACTCAGGCCCTTGCACTTGCCAGGGAAGTCCTTATTCTACTGAGCTATCTCCCTGGCCCAATCAGCTTTAATTTCTTTTGCTACTGAAGCAAGGACTCCTGTTAGCTGCTGACCCCTGTTGCTAATCTGTTTTCAACCTCAATGGAGTTTCCCATGAAATTTCACACAGATGGAGCCTTCTGTGACTGTCTTCTTTCATGTAACATTTGCTTTCAGCAATCGTGTCATGTCATAGCACGTGTCTCAAGTTCCTTCTGGTTTTATGGGTAAATACTTGTCCATTGGTGGCTCCGCCACTCTCTATGTGCCCATTCGTCTGTTGATGGACATTTGAATTGTGTCTGCTTTTTGGCTATTATGAATAAAGCTTGGAGCATTTCTTTAGGTTTATGTGTGAGATGATTTTAATTTTGTTTGGGCATATTACATCTAGAAATGAGATTGTTGAGTCATGTTAACTCCAGTTTTAATCTTTCTAGGAACTGTCAAACTGCTTTCCAACATAGCTGTACCATTTTATAATATTCCTATATTTTCACTAACATGTCATTATCTGTTTTTTTGATTATATTTCTCATACTGGGTGTGAAGTTGTATTTCCTTGTGGGTTTAATTTGCATTTGCTGAATGACTAATGTTATTGGGCATCTTTTCACACTTATGGGCATCTTTTTATACTTACAATATATGTATTATGCGTAATAATATATATTATGATATATATGATTAATAATTATGTATATTATACGTATACACATATATCTCCTTTGGGAAAATGTGTATCCCAACTATTTGTTCATTTTTAATTTTAATTGGATTATTTATCTTTTTGTTGTGGGTTATAACTATCTTATTTATTCCCTAGATACAAATCCCTCCTCAAGTATGTGGTTGCAAATGTTTTCTCATTGTTTCTGAGTGTCCTTGGAGTGCAAAGGCTTTTAGTTTTTAATGAGGGCCAATTTATCTATTTGTGGCTTACTTTGCTTTTAGTATTATGGATGGAAAGAAATGCTTTTCTTTTCACCTTAGGTTCATGGCTGAGATTCCTATAATAAAAGTAAGAATAGCAGAAAAATTGTACATGGATTTGATATTTAAAAGATGACCAAAACACATGGTAAATTCTAAATTAACAATGTTACCCCCATCGAAACACTCTCCTCCACTCCAAACTCTTATCCCATCGCTCTGCTCTCTCCGGAAGCAGCTCTGGAGGTCCTCTTTTGTGAGTGTCTTTACATGGTGTAATAAAAAAGACAGTGAATGCTACTGCTGAGTGCTATCCTAGGGAGAGGCAGACCAGTAAAAATGTCACTACGTGCTTTTATCCACCTTAGTCACTGGATCTGGTACTGTGTGACTATTGGCCTTTCCTGAAAAACCCAGATGACCCCGAAAGGTAAACACTGAGGCAAGTCAGAATACAAAGGCAGCTGGGAAAGTACCCCTAATGACGTGACAGTGGCCTTCCAGAACCACTTCCGAAGATGGCAAGAACCACGGGGTAAGTGGATTCAAAACAGCAGGGAGCATTCTAACTGTATTTTTTGCTATAACAAATTTTTTAAAAATGTAAGTATTATATTCAATAATGGAACTTAGAAAAAATGGGGTATGCCTATGAATGTCCATTTTGTATCTGTGTATTCAAAGTGGTTGGGATAGATATATAGTTGCA